ATATATATATATATATATATATATATATATATATATATATATATATATATATATTATATGCAATATTATCCATTTAAATAATATAAAACATAACTCCACACACACACACACACACACACACACACACACACACACACACACACAAGACTCACCGTGTTCCCACTGAGCTTTCTTCCGCTTGTGGTAGCTTCGACGCCAAGGATGCCGCCACGCTTTCCGGGTGGCGAGGCCCTTGTCGGGCAGGAAAGCGGCGAAACTGCCCTCGAGGCTGTCGGGGGTGCCACACACAGCGTGCGCCGTGTCGCAGTAGTAGCTGCACTTGCCGTGGAAGCACAGGTTGCCGGCGGGACTGACGAAGAACGTCTTCAGCAGTTCGCCGTCGGCGATCTGATAGATCTCCGTAGTGACGTTGAGCGTTCGGCCGCTCACCGGCATCGCCCTACGGAAACCTAACAACCTGCGAGCCAAGAAATGCGGGGGGCTTAACATCTCTTAAGAGACTACGCTCCCCAGAGCGAATCGAGCGTATCGAATGCAAACACTCACCTGTCCAGGTGGAAGGACGCGATCTCGGCGGTATGCCTCTCGAAGTCCGTAAAGTAGAAGTGATTCGGCAGAGTCTGCTGCTCTCGCGGAAACCTGTGAGATCAACGATGATTTCCGTTACAATTCGGCGACGAGAGTGAACGGCAGGAAAGGCAGGCGAGAGAAATCAACATGTGAATTTATAATTCCACAAAGTTCTTTGCACGGAAAAATTGGCTCAGTTAATTCTGCAGTTTGCTGGATAAAATTGAACGTTATAACTGAGTATATCTGCTAGTGCAGCAAAGATATTAGAAGTAACTGTCAACTTGCTCATAGATCAAACCCATTTGATATTATCTTGATTATTGTAAAAAATTATTTTGTATTTTGAGCTAATTGAAGTTTGCAAAACTAACTCATTAATTTAACTAAACAAATCATGCAATTATTCAATGGATAATGAAGGAATATCTTTTTTATTTCACGGGGAAGTACACCTCCTCCATTACGTCTAACTGCAAATGACCGTAATGAGAAATATGTTATTATGCGTTATGCAGTTTGCCTTTTTATGCCAATAATTGCATGTATTTGTAATATAATATACTATAAACTATATGTATCTTTATGTGAATGTATTTTTACTCTTATGATATTTTATTATACTATCTGAATGGTGAATTGTAGAGTAGATACTCAAGGGATTTCAATGAACATTTTAGCTAACTCCTACTGCTGGAGCAATTGATGATTTAGAATTGAAATCCGTCAATGTACCAAATCTTCTTTATTACACAGTAAAATAATTAGTTGCATGTGGTATTCGTGGTACAGAATCATCTTTGCTGCGCCAACAAATCCGCTGTGCTATAACATCAAACTTTACCAAGTACAACCACAAGTCTTATGCAGCTCCGCGACTTGGTTACCGTAACCCACTAAACTGGCTTTTCCGTATGTTACGGTTACAGATTTGCTAGGCTAGCAAGGTTTTCAGACGTGATAGCAAATCGCTCTTTCTTTTTGGTGTGGATCCTCCGAGTATATTAAGCCCTTAGAACTTTTCTGTTAAGAAGGGAGGGAAGAGGGACAAGTGTCTCTTCCGACTTATCCTTCCGAAAAATAACTAAAACTTGGCGCCAAGATCCGCGATGGCTCTCACTGGCCTTTCCGCGCTTCGCCGGTTACATGATCCTCTCGCGGAGAGGATGAGTCTGAGAGACCTCCGATGATCCCGGGACACCCTGTGTAACGGCGGGAGCGTGTTCGCAAGGAGCTCGCGTGCGTAATATTGCGGGAATTACCTGAGATTGCTATATTGCGGGAGATTAAGGCGAATTTTGCGGCATCATTCGATCGTTCGATATATTCGTCGCGTGACCTCGCGATCGTCCGCATACGTAACGCCAATTGTTTACTCTTCTCTTCGTCGACATTTTCATACGGAAGGCTTTAATTTTTTTTCCGAATTATTCCGCACGAAATCGGTTATTTTTTTCTTATATCTTTTTTTCCTATATTATTTTTTCTTTTTTTCTTCAACAACACGATGAATCTAGAGGAAGATGATAATTGTGCCATTCGATTTCCAAAAGATCTTTCGTTCTCCCGATCGCAGCCAGCTCGCTCGCGAGATTCATGCGCTCTGTTCGTGCTTATTGTCCTGTCTCGTGTATACGTATACAATACACACATATACATACGTATATATATACATATATGTGTTTATATATATGTATATATATATATATATATATATATATATAT